CATTTTACCATAGCATTAACAACGTATAGTGCTAAACTATTAACACTACAAATTAACGCTAAGCATGCAAATACCAGGTTACTTCACAACGATCCAGGATTCAGAGTCCTAACATTCCAAGTCCAAATTTTTCAGTAACTGATCCAGTAATGCTAGCTTAATGTCACTATCGTACACGTTGCATTCTGGGGATATGCTAACCGGCAGTAAATTTTTCATCAAGTGAAAGCGAATCTCGTCGATGACTGGAATGGAGTCTTTCTCTTCACGATTTTCAATCGTTGCCGCGTCCTCCACAATAAGTTCGTGAAACTCTGTATCGTCGATGAACTATGGACATATTGGAATGATATTAGGCTATTTGAAGGCACTTGTGCAACGAGGCACAAGGAGGGCAGGCAATTAAGTCTGATAACTCCTAAAATACTCGAACTAACTCTTACCTTTTCCAGACACTTRGCTAAAAACATGACACAGTTGGATTCCARTCCCTCCAGAGAAAATAACCGCGCAGTTTTGAGAATGGGAATCACGTTATCGACGTCAAGATGGTCCTTGATTTGATTTGCACACAAACGCTTTAAACCATTCAGAAGATACAAATCTGCAGCACATAGAACACTGTACAGATTCTGTACTTTAACATGCGTCGTATCTTGGTAAATGTAAGCTACGATTGCCGCAAAGTCCTCCGCACTGACGTCACGTAGCGTCACTTCCGGTACAGATTCTTCGTAGGAATCATGCTCCATAATGTCCGGTAAGACTGTTTCGGAGAAATGGTCGATGAGAAGCGCTTTGAAGTAATCACTTCGTCCACACATGAACACCTATTGGAATTAAAATACAGAGAGAGATACTTGTGGTCCTCTTCGGCAGTCGGGTCATCACTAAACTCGGGTCGAGTCTTTTCGCTGTTCTACGCGGCGCGCGGTGCATTAAGRGAGCGAGCAAATCTGATTTGAGAATCTTGTGCTTTAATCTGTTGCTTTGAAATTAATTTGTACCTTATGACAATAAAAACGAGCATCCTCCACGACAAAGCATATGTCGGAATAAGGAGGCCGGTCTTCAGGTGGGGTTTCATCGTCGGAATACGACCAAATCATGAAGGGAAGCAAGGCTTGAAAAAAAAAATGATTTGTTTGTTCAGCGAAAAAGACAACAATGTTAGTCCATTCCAACTGAATAAAAATCGCTGTAACAATGTGTGGGGATACGTACAGTGAAGGAAACTTATGCGCGTGAGAAAATTAGCGATGAAGGAAGAATAAGTCTAAGACAATGAAGACCTTCCGTTCTACTATCTTCAAATGCAACGCTCCATTCCACGCTCTCTTTACTTGTAAAAGTCATGAGACAATCCATTACAATTACCTTCAGTTTCTTCAGTAAAAAAATTCCCAAAGTTTTCATTAGTAACCTGCTTAAAATAACAAAAAGAAATCCATGTAATGTTTTTGTTTGTTTGTCAGTGACCCAGTTTATAGACGTCGCGGTTTCGTGAGCCCATGATGCTCTACGGTTGCATCACGTCCCGACGCTAGAGCCTGGGGCCAGGGAGCGCTAGTTTTGTTATCTCTAAAAATTTACCTGATTTTTGTAGGGAAATGGGATTACAAGCTCGACCAGCGAACCGAAAGCCTCGTTGAGTTCTCTAGAGTACGCGTCTGGTTCTACGCTGACTACTTTTATTGGTTGTGAAACTTTCTTGGAATTCTCTACAAATAAACAAACAAACAAACAAACTTTGTTTAATTTACAAGCCTATCCCACAAGACATAATCTCATTTCATATATTT